AGTGTTTAGTTTAGCCTAAATATAAGTTTAGGAGATGTTAATTATTAGTGTTTAGTTTAGCCTAAATATAAGTTTAGGAGATGTTATTATTAGTGTTTAGTTTAGCCTAAATATAATTTTAGGAGATGTTATTATTACTGTTTAGTTTAGGCTAAATATAAGTTTAGGAGATGTTAATTATTAGTGTTTAGTTTAGCCTAAATATAAGTTTAGGAGATGTTATTATTAGTGTTTAGTTTAGCCTAAATATAAGTTTAGGAGATGTTATTATTAGTGTTTAGTTTAGCCTAAATATAAGTTTAGGAGATCCTATTATTAGTGTTGAGGTTAGCCTAAGTATAAGTTTAGGAGATGTTTTTATTAGTGTTTAGTTTAGCTTAAATATAAGTTTAGGAGATGTTATTATTAGTGTTTAGTTTAGCTTAAATATTAGTTTAGGAGATGTTATTATTAGTGTTTAGTTTAGCCTAAATATAATTTTAGGAGATGTTATTATTACTGTTTAGTTTAGCTTAAATATAAGTTTAGGAGATGTTAATTATTAGTGTTTAGTTTAGTCTAAATATACGTTTAAGAGATGCTATTATTAGTGTTTAGTTTAGTCTAAATACAAGTTTAGGAGATGTTATTATTAGCGTTTAGGTTAGCCTAAGTATAAGTTTAGCAGATGCGCCCCTAGTGTTTGTGACAGCATTACACAAAATGCCCCTAGAATTTTTAAAGTGTAAATAACTGATTTTATGCCTTATTTACCGCAATAACATTTTAATTGTAATAATTTAACCCAAGACTGATAATATATTTATGTGTCTATTGTATGTGTTTATTGTATGTGTTTATTGTATGTGTTTATTGTATGTGTTTATTGTATGTGTTTATTGTATGTGTTTATTGTATGTGTTTAGTGTATGTGTTTATTGTATGTGTTTATTGTATATGTCTGTGTTTGAATGGCAAACACTCGTTAACCGAGCGCACTACTGATTAGGATTTTTTTCCCCCTCATAAAAACAGAGGGCTGCGTCATTGCAAACATTTTTAGCTCGGGATGTGAACTTTTGAAAATCGCCTATGTGGTTAAATAAGATTTTGCTTTGCGCCAAATATTCTGGCAGGGTGTGTTATAGTGCAGAATGCCAGTGATTATGGGATGTTTTTTTTAATTTCAGCGATTACTCTGTTGTTGTTGTTGTTGTATTGTTTTTTTTTCCAACTATTAGCAAGCAACTCGTCAACATTAAATAGTATTCAAAAAAAGCGTTGAATACAGGGGCTCTCAAATAAGGGTGCACACACCCGCTGGGGTGGTGCAGGAGGCAGTGAGAGATGCGGAAAGACCCGAACAATTTTGAAGCAAAACACAAGAACCTGGGCCTGGGCGTCCTGGGAGGGGTGGGATCTATAAAGGAACACGAAAAAAGTAAACAAATATAACTTTATAAAATGAAAACTGATTTTATTATGTTTGTAAAAATAAAAGTTCATGAAAGATGTCCCATCTGATCAATTTTTAAATCTTTTATTTCGTGCCATTGCTAGTGTTTGCTGCCTAAAATATTTTATTGTAATTTTTTATTAGCATCAGGCGATGTTTTCGTGGTGAATTTTGTTTGGACTTATGAACGGAACCGATTGTACCGTGTTGTGCATTCTACTCAAACAAGTCCCGGGGGGGGGGGGGGGGGGGTGGGTGGAACATTTAAAATTATTTGTGGGAAACCCGAAAAGTTGGGGGGGTACCGTGAAGCGCTATTCCATGGCTGTTGGTAGCTTAAGTCTCTGTATAATTGTATCATTTTTAGCTTTTACATTAATTTACCTGTATTGAATGAGCTAAGATGCCACACATCAACATGTTTGCTCCGCTTACACATGATAAATCATATGTTCTCGACCTGCCTCCAGCTCCGTGACATAAGATGAAAATTTTTTATTACATTAAATTTTGTCACAGTTGTTAATGAAATTAAAGTAAGGGAAATGTAGAGGGGGCTGAGATGCGGGGGGACCTCTAGTCCTCCCTTGACATGCCACTGCCACCGGTCCTACACCCATCTTAGATCATTTAATGCACACTTAAATGAATCTATTTTTTTTTCCACTGATGAAGGCATTTACCGAAATGTCTGTATTTGTATTTTGTATAATCATTATAAAAACTGAACTTATATTGTTTATTTACAGATATTGTTTGTGTTTAATTAATTTTTATCGCAGTCCAACACTCATATAATTAGTTAATTAGATAATGACGGTCTGACAATAGACAGCCTCCCCCCACCCCCCTCCTATTCGGCAACTGTCAGCTGTGTTGGAGTGACATTGCTATAAAGTTTAGCTCCGACTCTTGATTAATTAAATAGTGGTGACTTAACGTGCTTAGAGGTAACGCAGGAAGTGATTGATTCATTAATTGAATCTTTGAATGCGACCGATACTTGTTTTTGTAAGGGGGTGTGGTGGTTTGGGGGGGGGGGGGGGTAGGGGGCATTGATAACTTGCCCGCCGGCAACACCTCAAACAGAAAAAAAGATGTGACCTAATTACGTCAAGAAAGGAAACAAAAAAATCCAAAAGTTTAGCTACGACTCTTGATTAATTAAATAGTGGTTACTTAACGGGCTTAGAGGGAACGAAGGAAGTGATTGATTCATTAATTGAAGCTTTGAATGCGACCGATACTTGTTTTTGTAAGGGGGTGTGGTGGTTTGGGGGGGGGGGAGGTAGGAGGCATTGATAACTTGCCCGACGGCAACACCTCAAACAGAAAAAAAGATGTGACCTAATTACGTCAAGAAATGAAACAAAAAAATCCCGCCTCCATCTAGAATTTTCCATCTGATGTTATAGACGGTAAACTGAACTGTGGAGCCATTTGATAGATTTAACAGAGTTGAGTCGTTACAGTTGGAATTTATATAATTTTTAAAAAATATACACACACAAATAAGCAGACAGACTTCAAATGTTATAACTAGTTATAGAAATTATTTGACTTTTTTTTTAAAAATACTTTTTTAACGGAATTTTTTAATTTTAAATGCAAAAAAATCTGGCTATTCTGGCAAGTGGCCCTGTCAAAATGATTGAATCTTTAACCTTTAACCCTAAAAAAATTGATTGCGTAGAAAAATGCAAGTGAGCACACACTGGGTGATGTTAGTTACACGCCTGTTGAAGTACTTTTAGATGATCACAGTGCGTAGTTGCTTCCATTGGGAAAAAAGTTGTCCAACACCACACAATAATACAAAATTGGATTTCATCATCATTAGGAACTAACATTTTCTCACCATTATTCTTCCTCTACAATAGATCTATGGTCTTACAGCGTCAATTTCTGTGGTCTTACAGCGTCAATTTCTGTGGGCTTAAATCAGTGGTTCTCAACCTTCCTACTAGCGACCCTTTTTTATACAGTTCCTCATGTTGTCGTGACACCACCCCGTGCCCCCCCCCCCCCCACCATAAAATTATTTCGTTGCTACTTCATAAATGTGTGTTTTACGATTATCTCAGGCCACCCCTGTATAAGGGTATTACAGCGTCAATTTCTGTGGGCTTAAATCAGTGGTTCTCAACCTTCCTACTAGCGACCCTTTTTTATACAGTTCCTCATGTTGTCGTGACACCACCCCGTGCTCCCCCCCCCCCACCATAAAATTATTTCGTTGCTACTTCATAAATGTGTGTTTTACGATTATCTCAGGCCACCCCTGTATAAGGGTCGATCGACCCCCAAAGGGGTTGCGGCCCACAGGTTGATAACCGCTGTCTTACAGCATCAATTTCTGTGGTCTTAAAGTGTCAATTTCTGTAACCTAGATTGAACTCAACTCATAATTAGTGTTCGAAAATGCGTTCATTTTTGCTTACTTTTGATTGTTTGTTTACTATCAGGTTACCTGTGAACTTGTGTGGCGCAGCAAGAATGACCATGACCCCATTTCCTGAGAACACGAGGCGGCACACCACGCGCTTCTTCATCGATGACATTTTGGTCAGCAAACCGAAGCCCCTCCCCCGTGAGCCCGCTGCACCAATCATATCGAGGCCGCCCTTCCTCGACTACGCCTCTTATGCAGCGGCCACCCTATCCAGTCCGTGCCCTTTGCTGCTAACCCCGCCCTTCTTCACGCAAAGCCACGCCTCTTTCCTCAACGGGATGCCGGATCACCCAGCGTTTTTATTGCCCTCGGCCCGAGGTAAGCTGTCCCTTTAAAAGCTATGACTTGGTTAGCTATGACTTCGTAAGGCATGACTTTGTAAGCCATGACCACCTAAGCTATGACTTCGTAATATCTAACGTTGAAAGCCATTACGATGTAAGAACTGACTTTAACGGGATGACTAGCACAATAAGACTAAGAATTATCATGTCTAGGATTTGAACTGTCATGAACAGTGGCGTAACTGGAATCTTAGGCCAGGTGTTGGAGGCGGGTGGGGTGGAACACTAAATCTTTAGAGTCCAGGTCCTAGATGTGTAGTATATTAATTTTGGAAAAAAAGCGCTATAGGGCTGTCAGCGCCCTTGGCTCTTGAGGCCATACAATTTGAGAAACCCGCTATAAAGGTAATTCACCCTTTTACCGACTAACCCTCATCGGCTTTGGCATTAACTGCTGCTCTCACGGCTGCTCCCAACTGCTGTTCTAACTGCTGTTCTCTGCTGCACTACCGGTGAAGATATTTTTAGAGTTCCTCGCCCAAATAAAAATAAAAGCCGAATGCATACAATAATACATTTTCGTACTTGTTCAAATTCAGCTTAGAAGACCCGATACGCGTCCTCCACTATGGTCAAGAAATCCTATCCAGAGTTCCCACAAAGTCCCTTAGGGAATGAGAACTTTGGAAAAGGCCTGCCAAAAAAAAAAAATGGCAATCGTAGATTTTTAATTGAGTAGCCTTCGTCTGAATTTCTTACCACCTCACTTTCAGGTTTACCCCTGAACCCCTTGTTCCAACACGACAATCCCAGCAAACACTGCCGGCGACGGAAGGCCAGGACTGTGTTCAGCGACCAGCAGCTGACGGGTCTGGAGAAGAGGTTCGAGTCCCAGCGTTACCTGTCGACGCCTGAGAGGATGGAGCTGGCGTCCCAGCTGAATTTGTCGGAGACTCAGGTGAGGCGGCGCTGATTGGTGGTATGTTGATTGATGGTATGTTGATTGGTGGTATGTTGATTGGTGGTATGTTGATTGGTGGTATGTTTCTTGAGTTCGTGAAGATGGCAATCTGTGCAAACATTTCAAACCAATGGCGTGGTTTTGACTTGAAATTATTTACCGAGAATGAACTTGAAGAAAGAACAAAGTAATGATATTTAAATTTAAGATCTAGCCTGAAGTCATCATATAAATGTGTGCAATCATTTCAATCTGTATGTGATAATTTCACTACAATTATAGTGTCCTCTCAAAATGTACTTTAATCAACAAAGAATTTCATTATTTAGTGACAACCGACTCGTTATTTCATACATCCTTCTGGGCAGCCTGGCAGGGTTGCCAACTCACCCTTCTGGGACTGCCTGGCAGGGTTGCCAACTCAACCTTCTGGGGCTGCCTGGAAGGGTTGCCAACTCATCCTTCTGGGGCAGCCTGGCAGGGTTGCCTACTCATCTTTCTGGGGCTGCCTGGCAGGGTTGCCAACTCATCCTTCTGGGACTGCCTGGCAGGGTTGCCAACTCATCCTTCTGGGACTGCCTGGCAAGGTTGCCTACTCATCTTTCTGGGGCTGCCTGGCAGGGTTGCCAACTCATCCTTCTGGGACTGCCTGGCAGGGTTGCCAACTCATCCTTCTGGGACTGCCTGGCAAGGTTACCTACTCATCCTTCTGGGACTGCCTGGCAGGGATGCCTACTCAATAAAAATAAATTTACCGACAAGTATTATAAATCTTACAACTTTTACGACTAACATATTTGTCTAGGCAGACATTTTTATATAAAATTTGTTAATTCTATGGAGCTTAAAAAAATCTGGCGTGGATGCCCAGACTTGCAGTGGGTGCATGGCCCTGTCCATTGTATAGACATTGCCATCAAATCGTTCCCTAGACCTGCCAAGTATATATATCCTATTTATCATATATACATCGTGAAGATGATCATTTTTTTCAAAGGTGCAATCTATTGATGACGTCACGCTATTTTGGCCGATTTAACAACACCCCCCCCCCAAAAACAAAACACAAAAAAAAACCCCCACCTATTTTTTAATATTATTTTAAGGTTCTCTTCTTATCATCACGCATTTGTCACGCAATTTAGACACTTAGACACTTGTATAATTAATAGTTTCAAATTCGTGATACTTTATTTTGTTCATCTTTATATTTCCACCTCCAATTTTTTTTTTTGCATACCATCTTGTCACGTGACCCACATAATTTTCTTTCGTGCTTCACAACAGGTGAAGACGTGGTTCCAGAACAGGCGCATGAAGCAAAAGAAGATCCAGCGCAAATCCCACGACGAGGACCCCCGGGGCGAAGACGAGACCATGGACACCAGCCGAGAAGGTGCGGACGAGTCGGACGCCGACGACGCCGAGTACGACCCTCGCGACGTCCGGTCGCCTCACCCCTTCCACGACCCGCTCGGTCCGCACGGTCACCCGTCCCAGCAGGGTCACCCCCTCGCGCAGCCGGGTCTGATCGCCTTCCACGGCGGTCACCGCCACCACCCCCACCCGCAGACGTGCGCGCACGAGCACCGACAACACCGCGACGTCGTCAACCCGGTGCTGAGGTCGAGGTCGTTCTCCGACCTCCCGGAGTCGGACCACGAGGAGGAGAACGAAGAGATCAACGTCGTGGATACTGACCACGTGGACATGACGTCCTCGGCAGCGTCACCGGGTTCTTAAACTCTCGCTCTGTGACTCGTGGATCCTCATGTACATGTGCAGGCTGAAACCACTGGGGCCATAACAAGTGGTTGGGGGTCTCTCTCATCAGTTTGGGTGTAACATTAATTTATGTAAATATTGTTTAAAATATATGAACTACGAAAAACGGCAATACTTAGTTTGTTTTAGAATATGTAAGAATATTATATGTATACATTTGTTTTAAAATTTCACGTGTGTTGTTTAGATTTCAATTGGGTATAATGCTCAAGCGTATGATTTTCTTTTTATACTGGTTGGATGTCCCTAAAGGGGGTGGGGGCAGTATGACCTATCCCACATCACCTTGACCCTTTTAAAAGAGACAATTTTAACAGATTTGTTATATATGTTAAATGTTGAGCTCCTTTTTTTCTATAATGTTCCACAAAATGTCATCAATTTAAGAATGTTTTGAATGTGTGAATGTCTTTAATTTGTGAATGTCTTTAATTTGAGAATGTCTTTAATGTGTGAATGGCTTTAGTTTAAGAATGTCTTTAATGTGTGAATGTCTTTAATTTGTGAATGTCTTTAATTTGTGAATGTCTTTAATCTGTGAATGTCTTTAATTTGTGAATGTCTTTAATGTGTGAATGTCTTTAATTTAAGAATATCTTTAATGTCTGAATGTCTTTAATTTGTGAATGGACGTGATAACTCTTGATTACATTCGGGTCTCTAATCATAGCCGGAGTGGTTTGTCACGGCCACAATCAGGCACAGATCATTAACATGGGGTCTTTTGTTGTTGTTGGCGGGCCTGGTAACAGCCGGCGAAGAGCCACGCGCAGAGCCAACAATGTGGCCCACAGAGATATCCACACTGCCTGTTTGGTTTAACTGGCCCTGCCCTGCTCTGTAGCATTATGCCACACACTGACATGTACACGTTGTGCCAGGAAATATTTTAATTATTCTGAAATAAAGCATCTTCTCTCTGCCGACAGTGTCGGCTCTAGGTAGACGTGGTAATGGCGGCTACCGAGGGCGGCACTTTCAAAAGGGTGGACAATGCCAGGCCCCTTCCGCATCCATCTTTCTAAGCCACTGAGTTCGTGTTACACATCCTGTCCTTGCATTATGATTGAAACATGTGTATGTGTTTTGTGAGTGTGGTTTTTTTTTTTTGGGGTGGGGGTGGAGATTCTCATTTGTACGTAAGCACAGGCGTCCAAAAATGTGTGCTTCTCATTTGTACGTAAGCACAGGGGTCCAAAGATGTGAGCTTCGCATTTGTACGTAAGCACAGGGGTCCAAAGATGTGATCTTCTCATTTGTACGTAAGCACAGGGGTCCAAAAATGTGTGCTTCTCATTTGTACGTAAGCACAGGGGTCCAAAGATGTGAGCTTCCCATTTGTACGTAAGCACAGGGGTCCAAAGATGTAAGGGTGCAACAGAGGGAAGGCGGATATGAAATTTTGAACATTTTAACGTTATGAATGTAGATGGCTGTTAACCATACCACTATACTGTGTGTCGTACGCTGTGTGTGTCCCGGTGGGCCTATGCCCACTTTACTGTATCATGGCTGTGTGTGTCCCGGTGGGCCTATGCCCACTTTACTGTATCATAGCTGTGTGTGTCCCGGTGGACCTATATCCAATATTCTGTATCGTAGCTGTGTGTGTGTCCCGGTGGACATAAATCAACTATACTGTATCATAGGCGTGTGTGTCCCGGTGGACTGTAGATGGCTCCTGACCATATCACTATACTGTATTATGCGCTGTGTGTGACAATGTGAATTTTGCTAACAACCCCCCCCCCCCAAAAAAAAAACAAAAAAAAAAAAAACAACAGTTGCCTGTGCTGAAAGAAAATGTTTGAAGCTAAAATTCATAAATAGGCCTACATATCTTCATTCTACGATGTCTCAAGATCGTCTGGTCTTGGCTCAAGTATCGGTCGAAAGATCGAGTCTGAAATAATTCAGGATTTGCTCATGCGAAAGCAAGAATATGTTTTTTTTTTAAATGTTTGCAGGATGTTTGTTTTTGGGTTTTTTTAATTTTGTATCGCGTAGCATATTTTTGTTTTAAATACTTTGAATTGAACTCTAAAACTCTCAACGCTATTACAGACTTTCGAATTTGAGTTCATGTGGTTTGTCATTTGGTAAATAAAAATAAAAAATATGAATGACCATTTTGATCATAAGTAAGAGTTTACACTAAAACAATTACAGGAAATATTGCTTTATTGAAAAGTGAAACCTATGAAAATAGTTGACTGAACAATAATTATGATTAAAGGGCGGTACCTTTTTTTTTTTTTTTGGTTGCCTTTCAGCAGAAGACTTGCTGATTACGACGCTGTCTGCTGTATCTCCCACCTGACAGCACCACTGGTTATAATAATCAAGTTGTAAATAAACAATAAACAATGCTCTCAAACAAGTTGCTAGTTGTTGGTTAAATTAAGATTTGACGATAAAAATAAATGTATTAATTCGATATTAACATTGACAAATGGCTTATTTAAATTTAAAAAAAGAAAGATATTAAAAAAACACTGTCTCACAATTTCTTGGTATACTTGGTTTTTATTCTATTGTGGCATTAATCTTTTCATTTTTTTTTTTTTTTTTTTTTGAAATTTAATTTTTCTTGTTTAAAATTCTTATTAGCGTTTGAGCGTAATTCTATTTCTTATATTTTTTTGGCTCTAAACT